TTTTGTGTTTTGGATGACTGTACTTCCTGACTCATAGATGGAAGCCACTCATAGTGGCTTAAAACCTTCCGGGAACAAGGTAAATGTAGAAATAAAGAAAAGTTTCATCTTCTAGGTGAATTAAGAGAGATACTCAAATATACTAGACAATAAAATGTTTGCTCCTTTTAAATGCCTGAAGATTTATCTCTGGAGCTAACGTTTGCTTATTTACTCTCAATAAACTTTCAGGTATTCAGGGGAAATTATGTATGTGTGTGTGTGTGTGTGTGTGTGTGTGTGTGTGTGTGGCCCAGGTGGGCCAAACAGGGCTGGGGGTCCAGCCAGGGTTTGGGGGCCCAGGCCCCACTTCTGAAAACTATGGGAAATTAATATTTACATCAAAATTAAGCTTGGAAATTTTTTCTAAATTAAAAGCTGAAGCAAAATGAAAAGTATTTGGATCCAAGTTTCTGAGAAGCACAGAGGTCATGAGGGGTCATGGGGGGCCCAGAAGGAGAGACAGACAGAAGACAAAGAGAGAAGATGAGAATAAACCAAAATTGGTGGCTCTGGGTAAGATACACTGGGCCTCCCAGGTGGCACAGTGGTAAAGAATCCACCTGCCAAGGCAGGAGACACAGGAGACCCTGGTTCGATCCCTGGGTCGGGAAGATCCCCTGGAGAAGGCAGTGGCAACCCACTCCAGTGTTCTTGCCTGGAGAATCCCATGGATGGATAAGCCTGGTGGGCTACAGTCTGTGGGCTCTCAGAGAGTCAGACAGGACTGAGCAACTAAACAATAATAACAAGGTAAGATACATACCGGTGTTCTACTTTTTAGTATATATCACGTTCTGCAACTTGTTAGTCTGTTGGAATTGTTCAGAATTAAAGTAAAAGGTGAAGGAAACACCTGCACACGTGTAGGCTGCATGTCCATCCTTGAGCAGGAGTCAGGCCCAGGGTCACAGGCGGGTACAGTCACCCGGGCCTCAGGGGGCCCGTGGTGGACGCTGCTCAGGCCTCCCCCTCCTTCCCCCGCCTGGGCACCCCTGGCTTAGGCTGAACCATCAGCAGTTTCCACCTTACTTCATTCTTTTTCCTTTTTCAGTTTTCCCCACATTTGTGGTCATTTTCTGAGCCTGGCCCTGCTTTGCCTCCTATTGCTCTCTACTTTTACACTGAGTTCAGCAAAACAGGTCGTTTGACAGAAGAAAAAAATAAAGCTAGAATTGTAACTCAAATACTTGGAACAAAATGCCTTTATAATTTCTTTCTTCCAGTAAGAAGGTCATCTCAGATTCAAGCAGAAATGTCAAATTGCCTGTAATTTAAAGACACATTTAAAGAAAGTAGGACAGGAAAACAGCATTTTGCTGCAAAATGAATTCTTCTTCCTCGAGGCTGCCAAAAACTGATGTTTCCCACACCGCGGCAGCTCTGGTTCCAGCCTGCTTCTGAGGTTTAGATGATTGAAAATGATCACTGCTATGTGTTTGTGGTTTAATTGTCTGAAGCCACTTCCTGGAGAGGTCACAGGGCAGCTGCTGTTTTGCCAGAGTCCACAGAGAGGACTGGAGACAGCTGCCTTCGGCTGGGGGCCCAGGCGGGTCTGGGGGTCCAGGCCAGGGATTGGGGAGCCTCGGTGGCGCTGGGGGCCCAGGAGGGGATCGGTGGCCCAGGTGGGGCTGGGGGTGCAGGCAGGGTCTGGGGGTGGCACTAGGTGGGACTACGGGGGCCTAGTGGTGGCTTGGGGAGCCATGGTGGGGCTGGAGGTCCAGGCAGGGCCTAGGGTCTATGTGGGGGACCCAGGTGGGACTGGGGGTCTGGGCAGGGGGTCAGGGGCCCACGTGGGGCTCAGGGTCCAGGTGGGGGGTCGGGGACCCAGGTGGGACTGGAGGGTCCAGGAGGGGTCAGGGATGGATGGGCAGGGGCTGGTCTGGGAGGAGAGCAACAGTGTAGAATTTCATTCGCCTGGAACAGGGTGTCCTTGTTGCATCAGCTCTGCTTCTCACCCCCCCCTGCCCCCAGATGTGGTTTTGAGAGGAGGGTTAATGTCTGTCTGACGTTCATCGCCTGAAAAGAAAGTGATGGCACGAGATTTCTTGGATCCCCTCCCAGCTCCAAGGCTTCAGCAAGCAACCACCCCAGAGTGGACGCAGCCTGACTCTTGGGGTCAGAGTGACTTTTAAATAGTTATAAACCTTCTCCCCATCAGAGGAGGCTAAGCTAGAGCCTTGGGGGTGCTTTCATCCGAGGAGAGTTGAGATGACTTCTTACAGTCAATGGGCAGAGACGTTTTAATTTTAAGAGTCAGGTCTCAGAAAGAAGAGCAGTGAGAATGTTATGTGTGACAGATCCCTGTGGGGCTCCTTCCCTGAGCTCCTTGAAATTAGGGGTTCAGGATAGGAGTGACGGGAAGCCTGAACAAAGAGGGCAGTTGGGGTCGGGGTGGGGGGAGCTCCACGAAGGCACCGAGGAGCAGACTCCTTCCGCACATGGTCTGCAGGTGGTCCCATCCAGCCACTATATCCACACTGAGCTGGCAGCAGGGCAGACTTGGAAGCTGAGACTTTTAAGTTTTTCGGACACTTTTAAGTTGACTTCCGGGAGGATCATACGTTTCCACTTACATTTCATTGGCCCAGATTTTATCATGTGGCCACTCCTAGTTGCAAGAGAGGCTGGGAAATGTAGTCTTTGTGTGGGATGGGAGGTGCTCAATTAAGAGTCGGGGGGTTTCTGTTATTGGGGAAGCAGACACTGGAGAAGGAAGTTAGCATCTGTCATAGAAACTTTGTTTCTTAAGACTAAGGTCTTTGGAATCACCTATCCTGGGTTTAAACATCAACCCCGTGTACTAGCTGTGACATATTGGCCAAGTTACTTCACCTCTTTAATCTCTTCTACTTTAGCATCCATAGATTTGGCATGATGTTCACATCACAGGCACAAACAAAAGAATCAACACCCAGTATTTAGCACAACAGCTGTCGCTGGTCCCCTGGTCCCTGTGTCAATGTCTTTGACTTCATTCATTTATTCAGATGTGTGGTATTGATTGTTGTTGTTCAGTCACTAAGTTGTATCTGACTCTTTGCCACCCCATGGACTGCAGCACCCAAGGATGCCCTGTCCTTCACCATCTCCCGGAGTTTGCTCAAACTCGTGTCCATTGAATCAGTGATGCCATCCAACCATCTCATCCTCTGTCACCCCGTTCTCCTCATGCCCGCAATCTTTCCCAACATCAAGGTCTTTTCTAATGAGTCGGTTCTTCACATCAGGTGGCCAAACTATTGGAGCTTCAGTTTCAGCATCAGTTCTTCCAAGAAATATTCAGGGTTGCTTTCCTTTAGGATTGACTGGTTTGATCTCCTTGCTGTCCACAGGGATTCTCAAGAGTCTTCTCTAGCTCCACAGTTCAAAAGCATCATGTCTTCAGTGCTCAGCCTTCTTTATGGTCCAGCTCTCACATCCATACGTGACTACTGGTATTGATTGTACATGTGTTTAACTCCTATTTCTTCCAGTCCTCACCAGAGATCTCATGAGTCTGGCTAGGACCAGTACAACTAGGATGTGATTAGCTGCGTGTGTTAGTCACTCAGTTGTTGTCTGACTCTTTGCGACCCCTTCGACTGTAGCCTGCCAGGCTCCTCTCTCTATGGGATTTTCCAGGCAAGAATACTGGAGTGGGTTGCCATTTCCTTCTCCAGGAGATCTTCCTGACCCAGGGATCGAACCTGGGTCTTCCCCATTGCGGGCAGATTCCTTACCATCTGAGCCACCAGGGAAGTCCCTGTTCAAAGAGGATAAAGCAACATGGTCCATGTTGGGGTGAGCTTTATGCTAAGTAAATGGCCTGGTGAACCTGGGGTCAGAGGTGAAGTTACAGGAGTAGAAGCAGGAAGAGCTGAGGGTGAGACAGCCCGGAGTGGACACCCAGCTAAGGGGAAAGTTCAGGCCCTCCATGTCACCACTTGTCACCAGTAGGGGTGCTCAGGACACAGCTCTGAGCCCCCATCTTCTGGTGGTTGCCCAGTGATGAGGTGGGGGAGGTTTCTAGAGTTCAAGGGTCACTTCCTCTGTCTGTCAACACTGCCCTGGCAAGCTAAGAGCCAGCTGGGTTTACTGCGAGCCATTCCGAAAGACATCTGTGCCAGGAATGGGGAACAAGCCAAACTCCTTCAAGAATATGAAGGTGGGTGCTGGCAAGGATGTTTTTATCTGGATTCATTGATCACTCCCAGTTTCCTAGCAGACTTTCAGTTGGACACGTTCCCTGGTACTTTCTGGGAGTGGGCACCGTGTAGTCCCTGAAAACTGAATAAGATGGAGCCTCTGTCCTCGTGGGCTTCCCAGGTGGCCCCCTGGTAAAGAATCTGCCCGCCAGTGCAGGAGATGTGGGTTCGACCTTCCCCTGGGTTGGGAAGATCCCTTGAGGGAGGGCATGGCTACTCACTCCAGTTTTCTTGCCTGGAGAATCCCACGGACAGAGGAGCCTGACGGGCTACAATCCAGAGGGTCGCAAAGAGTTGGACACTGAGCCACTGAGTATTATGTCCTCATCTGTCCCCACCCCTGGGATCCACAGGTGAGGTCCAAGGCCTGATGGCGCCCACTTCATTCCCTCCTGGGGCAACTCCTCCCTCTACAGGCGGGGGTGTTTACCTGCCCCACAGACGGCACGTCTGGCCACGTGTCTGGCTTTGGCCAAGGGAATGTGGGCCAACAAGAGTGAGCTAGTTCTGAGCAAGCAAGGCCTCGCGTGCTTTTGCCCACGTTGTTTATGTTTTGCCATCACATGAGAACATCACCTCCCGGAAAGTCACTGGTCCAAGGAGAGTGAGACATCCATAGAGCGGACTTGGGTCCCACCTGAAGCTCAGAGCTGAGCCTATCCCAGCCTAATCTAGGTCAGCCAACCTCGGTCTCACCCACAGTCCTGTGAGTGAGAAGGGGGGAGGTGGTGGGGGGCCGGAGGGAAGTACAGGGGGCATCTGATCCTCCAGCTTTGGGGAGGTTGACGGGGAGGAATGCGTCCTGAACTTGTGTAAAATATTCAGTTTTTGGCCCTCACTTTGCTTTGTCCTCTGGGTTGCTCTAGACCACAGATTATATAGAATTCCTCAGGTTACCTCTGGGTTGCTCTAGACCACAGATTATATAGAATTCCTCAGGTTACGTCAGAATTGTATGTAAAATAAGAGTTAATCCATAAGGCCTATAGCAAAAGTTCTCTGATAAGTTAAATATGAGGGCCTTTTGACTTTGTGACTCATTCACTCATTCCCAACAGACAGGAATTAGGAAGCAGCTCTGAACAGAAAGAATTAGAACCCCGAGCGAGCACCTGCAGCTTACATGCTGGTGAGAAGAGACATAGCTGATGACAAATGTCAAGAGAGCAGGAGAGCTGGAAAGGAAAGATGGAGTGTTGGGGCAGAGGTGGGTGCAATTATACGGGAAGGTCAGGAGGACCTCGTGAAAAGTGATGTTTGAGCCAAGACACTAGCAGTGGCCTTAGGTGAGGAAAGAACCCCTTGGGCCGAAGAGCAGGGAGTGCTAAGGCATGTTTCAGGAGATGGAGAGACTTAGGATACGAAACTCCTATTTCCAGCGAAAATTGCCAGAGAGGAAGAACAGATTCAAAAAATTTGAGTTTTCTTGTTTAAAAAAAAAAAAAATCTAGGCTAAATGTTTCTGTTGTCAGGTAAACGCTCCAGAAACCAGCCCAGGACCATCCTCATGGGGTCCTCTCTTTTGGTGTTGGTGGTGCCTGGTGACCCCCGCCTCTGTCTCCTCCTCTAGGCCCTGCTGTGCAGGACTGGCAGTCTGCCCTCCCTGTGTCCTCCAGAAGCTTCTGGGAGCCATGTTCCTCTTGTCCGTATTGATAATGGGTGTGTCCCCCTTCGCCGTGCAGTCTGAGGAGCACACGGGTAAGTAGTGACTCTCAGCTGGAGGGGCTTGCCCGCAGCCTCTCTGGGAATGTTGTTGTTTAGTCATTAAGCTGACTCTTTGCGACCCCATGGACTGTCACCCACCAGGCTCCTCTGTCCATGGGTTTCCCAGGCAAGAGTACTGGAGTGGGTTGCCATTTCCTTCTCCGGGGGATCTTCTTGACCCAGGGATCAAACCCATGTCTCCTGCATTGGCAGGTGGATTCTTTACCACTGAGCCACCTGGGGATAGGAGCTGCTTATCTAGGGAGATTTTGTTGTTATCGAGAAGCAAGGTGTGACCATCTGTGCTTTGGTGGGAGACAAGAGTTTTCTCTTGCCAGTCTCCTCTGGTGGATGAGTTTGCTGTGGGCGTCAGTCATTCCTGCCAAAGGAACAAACCAAAGAGACCATGCTTTTGCACTTGATAAAAGGTGCTTTTGGATTTTTACCATACAATGTGTTGGAACTAAGCTGAACTCAATCAATATCGACCTTGAATGACCAGGTGTCATCAAGTCAAAAATAAGATCAAACTTGAGACTTCTGGTGGTCCAGTAAGGTTAAGACCTTGCCTTCCAATGCATGGGCTGTGCGTTTGGTCCCTGGTCAGGGAGCTAAGATCCCACATGCCCCGCAGCCAAAAATCCAAAACATAAAGCAGAGACAGTATTGTAATAAATTCAGTAAAGACTTTAGAACTGGTCCACATTAAAAAAAAAAAATTCTTAAAAAAGACCAAAATTTTTTTGTTATCTTGTGAACCTAATTTAACTTTTCCCACAAAATGTGGATGGAACTTGTTAGCAGCCCTAATGTCATTATCTGGGAGCTTTGAGAGCATTGTGAGCTCTCAGATTTGTTAGTGGGACCCCACATCATCAGGGCATGTGGTGTCCCCGGAGAGACCCCAAAACCTGACCGTGGATTCTCTGTCCTTCAGTGGCCGCAGGAAGCTGCCGATTTCATGGCAGGCACCCCAAAACAAGGTTCAAGGTGGAAGGGGAGCCTTTGGTCTTGAGGTGCCCCCAGGTGCTCCACTGGGAGTCTACCAGCACCCATGTCAACGTGACGTGGCATAGAAATGACTCCGCCGTGGCGGTCCCAGGGGAAGAAGAGTCGCGCGTGTGGGTCCAAGACGGAGCTCTCTGGATCGTGCCAGCCTCCCAGGCAGACTCCGGCACCTACATCTGCACTGTCAGGTCAGCTCCTTGGGGACAAGAAGCGGGGAGGGGCGCTCTTCCACAGCGGATGCTTGCATGGCATTTATAACAGCCTGGCCTTCCAAATGCAGCCCACAGGTGGGAACCTACTTTACGTCTGCCTCACTGTTCCTGCAATACCTCCTACCCGGGAGCCTGTCCCAGACATCCTCACGGTGCCCTGTCTCCCCTTACTGGGGTCTTTAAGTGTCACCTCTATGAAGAGGATGTCCCTGGTGACTTTGTCTAGAGCAGGATTCCTGTCCCTCTCTCTCCTGAACCTGAAGTTCTTTGTCTTCATCTGACACGCATGTACTGGTTTCATGTATTTAAGGATTCGTCTACTCCATTAATGTCTAGAGCAGGATTCCTGTCCCTCTCTCTCCTGAACCTGAAGTTCTTTGTCTTCATCTGACACGCATGTACTGGTTTCATGTATTTAAGGATTAGTCTACTCCATTAGAACATACACTCCAGAGCACAGGGACGTGGTTTATTTTGTTCGCTGCTGAATCCACAAGGACTTAGGGAATACACGCAGAACCCCAAGCCAACTGGAGACCGGGGAGAGACTTTAGGGAGAAGTTAACACAAATGCTTGTTGGGGCGGGGAGAGCCAAACCCATAAAGTTCTCCCGGGTGGCGGGTGTGGAGCTGAGGCTGGAACCCACAGCTCCTGGCATGGGACTTAGTCCCCCCATTTTTGTCCTGCTGCTTTTTTCCCTCTTTAATTGTGCTAACACAAGGATAATAGAACATTTACCATTTGAACCTTTAAAAAAAATTTAATATTCAGCTGAATTTATTTTTGTTTGTTTTTAAATTTTAATGGGAGTGTAGTTGCTTTAGGGCTTCTCCGATGGCTCAGTGGGTAAAGAATCTGTGTGCAGTACCGGAGACACAAGAGACGCAGGTTCGATTCCTGGGTCGGGAAGATCCCCTGGAGGAGGAAATGGCAACCCACTCCAGTACTCTTGCCCGAAGAACCCCATGGACAGGGGAGCCTGGCAGGCTCTAGTTCAAAGGGTGGTGAGGAGTTGGCCACGACGGTAACCAGCACAGAGGGTTGCTTTGCAGAGCTGTGTCCGTTCCTGCTGCCCAGCAGAGTGAATCACCCGTGCCTGCGCCGTAACCACTCCCTTCTGGATTCTCCCCGTGCAGGCCGCCGCAGAGCATTGGGTAGGTTCCTGGTGCTCTGCGGCGTGTTCCCGACAACTGTCTATTTTATACATAGTATCAACTGTCTATGTGTCCACAGCCTTCCAATTCTGTTTCTATTAATATCACCATTTGGCCTCTGCCTTTTCCTCAGTTCCAGGGTCTTGATAGAATGATACTGAGATTATTGTTAGACCAACCAAAAAATAAAACCCAAACAAACTTACCAAGTTCATTTCCCCCATGCAGTATTGAAAAAAAGACTTCACAGATCTTACCCAAAGATCTTAAGTTTCCTGACATTTGATTTCAGTTGGTACATGATTTCCAAGGGAAGTAAAGGGGATATTCTTCCTATGGAAACAGTGGCTCTTGGGAAACTGTCTCTCCATCTGGACAAGGTTTCCTGGACCGGGAATTTGGAGCATGTTGGGGCTGTGCTGAAGCACCCCCAGAACCTGGGAGGGTGTGGACCCCTTTGAAGAGGACTTGGAGTTTCTTGTGTACGTGTGCCAAGTCACTTCAGTTGTGTTCGACTCTTTGCAACCCCATGGACTATAGCCCACCAGGCTCCTCTGTCCACGGGATTCTCTAGGCAAGAATACTGGAGTGGGTTGCCATTTCCTTCTCCACTGGGAGACTCCACTAGGAATTTCTTCTTAGTGACCTCAGTGGCCTTGAAAGCAAGCTTGTGAAGGGTCCTTTGAGAAACATGCAGATTACATCACCATTCCTATCTGACAATTATGACATGGTACTTTTTCTGCCCCCCAAAGGTTCAAAAGGACTAGGGACAGAAATGCTACAATACTAATGAGAAAAATACAGAATGAATTATTCACTGAGATTGGGGAAGTTATTCTTAATTTCATTTAGTTTTACTTTCATTTTGCCTTGCCATTTAGTTTTCTTTTCTCCCCTTTTAAATCAGAAATGCCTCTTACTGTGACAAAATGTCCGTCGAGCTCAGGGTTTTCGAGAAGACAGAAGCCTCTGTGCCTCTCATCTTCTACCCCCAAATTATACCCTTGTCAGCCTCTGGGCTACTGGTTTGTCCTGATCTGAGCGAATTCATCGACAACAAAGCTGACGTGAAGATTCAGTGGTACAAGGTACATCTCTGAAAATTGCCATTTAATGAATGCATGTTTAAAGAGCCATAGAAAAGATATAAAATGCCTATTCTGAAGGCATTATGCTCACTTTTCTATTTCTATTTTTTTAACATGATTAGTATATTCTATACATCTTTACAAGGCTTGAGTAAGCATCCTTGGATAGTGATTTGAAAAGACAGTGTGAAATGAATGCAGAATAAATAAAAACTGATGAAAGTAGCTTTTTACTCTATGCTGGGTCTATAGAAATTTAGAAGGGACTGTTTAACAATTTTATATACGTGTTAATAGAGTTTTTATAAAAGCACATGAAAATTAACCTTTGGGTTAAAGGACTAAATATTGGTGTAAACACAATTTCGTGTCTTTCTCAATAAACACTGCTGTCAGCTCCCTTGTGTAGACCAGGGGTGGGCAAAAGACAGCCGTGGTCCAGTGAGCTGCCCCTCCTTTGTTGTTTTTTAACTTTTTATTTTGTATTGGAGTATATTTAATTAACGATGTTGTGATAGTTGCAGGTGGGCAGCCAAGGGACTCAGCCATATGTGCACATGTATCCACTCTCCCCCAAACTCCCCGCCCACACAGGCCGCCACGTGACATCGAGCAGAGTTCCCTGCGCCGTGCAGTCGGTCCTTGTTATTATCCATTTTAAATATTAGCTGCTACTCAGTTTTGGATGTTAACTATCCAGTTAAGGATAGTTTTCTTGTTTTTAAATGGTTTAAAAAATTAAGAGAAGACTAATATTTCATGACCTGTGAAAATGATATAAAACTCACATCTCAGTGTCTGTCAGTAATATTTTACTGAGGCATGCTCGTTTGTTTCTCTTTTTATGGGGCAGCAGCAGCTGAGTCGAGTGGTTGGACAGAAGACATGTGGACCATAGGCCTAAAATATTTACTTTCTGGCTTTTTACAGAAAAAAAGTTTGCTGACCCCTGATATATACTGGGAATTGATACTAAAAAGTACAGTTACTTGTTTAAAAATGGATAGAAATGAACACTTTAGTAAAAAAAAAATAGGTTGACTACCTGACAAGCATTCTAACTACAAAATAGTGTAGTATGTCAATTTAATATTGGAAACTTTTAAATGATTTTCAGAGAAAATATTGAGTTGGCCAAAAAGTCTGTTCAGTTTTTTGTATAGGATGGCATGGCGAAAGCTGAACGACCTTTTTAGTGAACCCAGTAAGTAGCCAGCTCTTATGAATTAGTCCGCCCAGTAGAGGATCTCTTAAGAGATATCTTAGAGGTTTCATAAGAACATAAAAAGATCTCTTAGAGGTTTCGTAAGGGCCTAAAAAGGTCAAGTGAGGGATTTACCGTAGAGGAGAGCGCACAGGTTCTGGGGGTGACCAGTCTGCTATCTGGCCTGGGTCAGCTTTTTCCCTCTTTAACCTGTTTTCTCTGCAAGGCGGCACTTCATCCCTCCCACACCCGGGACTGTTTCCAGTTGAAATGGAGCACAGGGTGTGAAAGACCTTGGGCAGTGCTTGGTGTATAAATACGGGTGGACAGGGGCATCCTGGTAGCACTTAATGATATCAGTTCCTGTCCTAAGAGTGCTGGCCGTCACTGAGCACGTACTGTGTCCAAGTCTGTTCTAAGCTCCCTGACACGAACCCAGTGCAATAGGGGCTCTTAATATCTCCATTTTACGGATTAGGAAAGGGAGACACACAGATATGAGCACCGTGCCCAAGGTCACTCAGCTGGCAGAGGGTGAAGTCAGACCTCTGACCGTGGAGGCCAGAATGCGCACATCCCTGCCACATGGGCAACCCTGGAGATTTGCAGACCCTGGAAGAACCATGTGGCTCTGCCCTGTTTTAACTTTTTAAACCTAATCGACACAATAGAGACTGTTCACATTTGAAGTACACTAATCAGGGACCCACACTCTGTGTGTGTGGGAGTCGCTCAGTCGTGTCCAGCTCTTTGGGACCCCATGGACTGTAGCCCGCCAGGCTCCTCTGTCCATGGGATTCTCCAGACAAGAATACTGGAATGGGCTGCCAGTTCCTCCTCCAGGGGATCTTCCTGACCCAGGGATCAAACCCGGGTCTCCCACATTGCAGGCAGGTTCTTTACCATCTCAGCCCTGTTAGGGTTTGTTCACATTTGATCACATGTGTTGGGAATGATGAAATCTCTGTTTTTAATTAAGTATATTGTTCAATTAGACTTAATGAGTCATGTGGCTGACAAACTCTTCCAGTTATGCCCATGTTCTCCTTCAGATAAGTCTGTGAAATGACTCAGGGTTATATTAGATGATTGCAGTCGTCCTGGTTTTGAAAGAGATGTTCCTGAGAACATTTTGTGCTCATGAGGTGTTTCCTCTGCTCTGCCCTGCAGTACTTTTGTCCATATGAGAAGTGCGGGCTCATGTCTCAAACTCGGTTTTCTCTTACAAAATTTTCTCCATCTCTCCTGACTCTTTAACTTGAAATGATTCTTAACATGACTACTGCAACATCAACTCTTGGGGGCATTCACCATGACTACATCATAGCACTCCTTTCTGGATGTTTCCCAGGGCCTATAGGCAGCAGTTACACCATAAATATATTTATATTTTAATGGCCTACTTTGTCAAAGAAGATAGTTTCTTTTTTTCCCGTTTTGCCAAAGCAAATCTGCTTTAAACCTTGTAGTTAAACAGACCCAGCCATTTATTACAAACTTTTTATTTTGCATTGGGGTATAGCCACTTCACAATGTTGTGATAGTTTCAGGTGAAGCGAAGGGACTCAGCCATACATTAACATGTATCCATTCTCCTCCAAACTCCCCTCCCATCCAGGTTGTCACATGACATTGAGCAGAGTTCCTTGTGTTATATAGTAGGTCCTTGTTGGTTATCCATTTTAAATTTATCTGTGTGCACATGTCCATCCCAAACTCCCTAACTATCCTTCCCCCCATCCTTCCCCCCAGCAACTATAAGTTTGTTTTCTAGGTCTGTGAGTCTATATCTTTTTTGAAATAAGTTCATTTGTATCATTTCTTTTTAGAATCCCCATATAACCAATGTCATATGGTATTTCTCCTCTGTCTGACTTACTTCACTCAGTGTGACAATCTCTAGCCCCATCCATGTTGCTGCAAGTGGCATTATTTCATTCTTTTCAATCTAGCCATTTTATTTCATATGCTAACAAACTCCCTCTCCTAAAAATACAGTTAAAAAAGCATGTCCCAAAGGACAATATTTGCAAAGTAAATACCAAGGTGATTCTTGGGTTGCAAATTCAATAGTGATGCATGATGCCGATGCTGTTCATAGCTTTTGAGACATCAATTAGAATATAGTTTAACATTTTAGAAAACTTTTAATTCTGTATTGGAATATAGCCAACGCTGTGATAGCTTCAGGTGGACAATGAAGGGATTCAGCCACACATATACAAGGATACAGTGTAATTTTGAAAAACGTTTTCCCTTAAGGATTCTGTCCCTTTGGATCAAGACAAGAAGTTTCTCAGTGTGAGGGGAACTCGCTTACTCGTAAACAATGTGTCCATGGAGGATGCGGGCTACTATACCTGTGCCATGACGTTTGCCCACAAAGGCAGGCAATACAACATCACCAGGAATATCAAACTCCAAGTCAAGAGTGAGTACTTGCATGGCTAATTCATTTCAATGTATGACAAAAACCACTGCAATGATGTAGAGTAATTAGCCTCCAACTAATAAAAATAAATGGAAAAGAAAAGAAAAAAAAGAGTGAGTACTTGCCATCAGGAAACCTCTGTACCCTGGTTCAGCAACAAGCATGCAAGGGAAAAATTAGGGCTCACATAGAACTCTTTTTTTCCCCAGGTTGTTATCTCTTGATTGAATTTTAAAAAAAATTTTAATTGAGGGAAAATTGCTTTACAATATTGGTTTAATTTCATGTAGAATTCTTTGAGTGTCTTTGGTATGAGAGGAAAACAGATATGGCAAATCTCTCGGCACCAGGCTTGTGAGACGTGTGTGGCACTTGGAAGGATAGAAAGCTGGGTGATTTTATGAACAGTGAATCCCTGGGTAGTTGACAGGGTTCTAAGTCTGAAGTTAAGATATCCACCACTAGAGGGAGCCAAACAGTAGTTCACGTGGAAGGTCCCTCTGCAAGGTCCGTTTGGAAGACTTGCCCATCGAGGGCCAGTGATCAGAACACAGTTGCCGTAACTTTGCGTCTAATTCTAGGATGTCCATGCGTGCTCAGTTGGTGGGTCGTGTCCGACTCTTTGTGATCTCATGGATTGTGGCCCACCATGCTCCTCTGTCCATGGGATTTCCCAAGCAAGAACACTGGAGTGGGCTGCCCTTTCCTTCTCCTAATTCTAGGATACTAGGATTTTTTGGAGTTTTCAATGAGAAGTCTACACATTGGCATAGCTGGTGAAAAATCTCTCTCTTTTTTGATCTTCCCCAAGCATGTCTAGCCTGAAGGTTCAGATGGTAAACAATCTTCCTGCAGTCCAGGAGACCCAGGTTCAATCCCCGGGTTGTGGAAATCCCCTGGATTTGGAAATGGCAAGTCACTCCAGTGTTCTTGCCTGGAGAACTCCATGGACAGAGGAGCCTGGTGGGCTACAGCCCAGGGTGTCGCAAAGAGTTGGGCATGACTGAGCAAGTGAGCGCGCGCGCGCGCGCGCACACACACACACACACACACACACATTTCAGAGCTTTGAAACTATGTCCAGGTATATAATTAGTCTACGAAGGGAAAAGACTTTCTTCTCCCAGAGAATACTGAGATTCAGTCTTATTACAGGGAAAATAGAATCTTCCATGAATGGAAATCTCTGTGTCTGGTGAGGATTCAATCACATCAGCCCCTTGCTCCCCCGCAGAGGGGATCCCCTAGTATCCCGCCCCCCTCCACCATTATCTTGTTCATGTGATACTGCACAGGAACACGAGGGGGCGCCAACCTACCTATTATCCTGCGTCCCGACCAACTGTGTCTCAGCTGTTTTCAAGGGTGGTCCTCCGCCAGCTGCAGCATCACTTGGGTACTCATCAGACACGCAGACTCTCAGGCCTCCTCCCAGACTTACTGAATAAGAAACAATTTGCAGCCTATGTTTAATAAGCTCCCAGGTGATCCTGACATGCCCTGGAGTTTCAACCCATGGATGTATCTCGTCCTTGGGGCATCTTTTCCCCTTCTGTGCCTCCCTGAAGCAGCCCTGTGACCTTGAAGGGAAGTGCAGGCTCCTGGTCATGATCACGGTCACAGTGGAGAAGCCGGCTGCTCTCTGGGCTCACCTGGGATGCTGCCTAAAGCTTATCCCATTAGGGTTTCAAATGCTATTTAGTGGAAGACATGAGGAAGGAGCCGTGGTGGACATGGGCAGCCCTTCATCCACCCTTCGCTGTCCTTTCTGCCCCAGTTCAGATGCCCAGTTTCTTCAAGCTGCTGGGAGAACTGCCTCTTGGGGAGCTGGGCTCTGATTCCTCCACAGAGAGTCAATTTCCTCAATTACAAGCCCAGGTGGCCAAGCTGGGTTACCCTGTTTCTCTCTCAGTGTGGGCTTAGAAGGCTTCCCAGGCGGCCATTCCCAGTGGCACCTGCCTGCCATGCAGGAGTCGCAGGTTCAACCCCAGGGTCGGGAAGAGCCCCTGGAGGAGGGCATGGCAACCCACTCCAGGATTCTTGCCTGGAAAATTCCACGGACAGAGGAGCCTGGCACGCTACAGTCCATAGAGTTGCGCAGAGTCTGACACAACCGAAGCGACTTAGCTTCACACACATGGGGTTAGCATCACAAACAGGTGGTTCTGGATGTCCTGTGCCTTCTTTATTTTTCAGAAGTGACTCCAGGATTCTATTGCAGGTGTGGAGGGGGCTACTTTAGGGTGAGGAGCCTTTGGAATAACACCCGTCCGTTGACTTGGAGAACATTCCTGCTGAGGGTTCGTTCAGGAAGCCGGGGAGTGAAATGGTTAATTGTTATCGCAGAGCATAGAACATCTGCGAGAGGAATGTGTGTATAACTGCGGCTTCTTCCAGTAATCTCTCTTCTGGGAAAAGCATTGGCCAAAGAGCCTCAGTTTCGTGGCTAGCCAGTTTCCTTTGCCAGACAAAAGCTGAGTCTCACAATGTCTGGCTCTGCTGCAAAAGAGAATTTAGCTAATTAGTTAAACAATAGATCCTGACCCTCAGCTCGCAATGAAGTGCTTCCTCATTGAATCTCCTTTCCTCCTGTCTTTCTCAGAAAGAGATGAGGAGACCATTCCTGTGATCATCTCTCCCCACCAGACCATCTCAGCCTCGCTGGGTAAGGACCGTGTGACCCATGGGGGTGGCTGCAATCCCAAACCTGGGGCCCCGGGACCCCTGCAGGTCTCTGGTGGAGACCCTCCCTGCAAGAAATAACAATGTTGTTACCCCATCGAGAGTTAACAAGTGTGAGGAAAAATTTCTCTTTGAATGGCATTGTTGGGAAGCATGCATATTTTACTTCTTGAAAACTCTACCTACAAAAAAACTCGATGCAAAAAATCAGAACATTCCAATGACCATTGTTAACTACGTGAAAGGAAGAATGGATGGCATGATGTCCCAGGCAGCACCTGAGGTGTATTTAAAATAGTAATAATTCACTTCACCAACATGTGGTTAATGCTAGCATTACGCCCAAGGCTCAGACTGCCCTGCCGGCTCCCAGGAGACAGTTCCTTGTCACTTAATATCAGGTCAGTGGGTCAAGGGAGGTAACGCTTGTCAGAGGTTTTCATTTTTCACCCTTTCACTGTTCCAGCCAGCACACACTTTCTTATCAAACACTGTTCAGTCTAATAAGATGTCTTTCAATGCCAACATCAGCCCTCTGGAATGGTCTTATTTCTCCCATTTTCCAAAAGAAAAGATGCCTGGGTTGAGGGTGGTGGGGGTCATTGGCTCAGTGTCTGTCAAAAAGTCACAGCTGAGTCTGGCTGGGGTTCAGACCCAGGCCTGTGTGTCTGTGAAGCCTGCACCTTTTGTGTCTGTTTGTTTTTATATAATCATTTTTTAGGTCTTATGCTCATTATTAAACCCTGGCTGCAGAGTTCTGTCTATCTATCTATCCATCTATCAATCACATGTCTATCGATCCATCAATCATTTATCTATCCATCCATCCATCTGTCTGTCTACCTACCTATCCCTCTGTTTGGTCTTAGGCTTGTATTTTAAGGGCTTTCCAGGTGGCTCAGATGGTAAACAATCTGCCTGCAATGCAGGAGACCTGGGTTTGAACCCTGGGTTTGGAAGATGCCCTGGAGAAGGGAATACCCACTCCAGTATTCTTGAGGCTTCCCTGGTGGCTGAAATGGTATTCTCCAGTGTTCTTGCCTAGAGAAGCCCATGGATGGAAGAGCCTGGTGGGCTACAGTCTGTGGGGGTGCAGAGTCGGACACGACTGAGCAACTAGCCCTTATATTTTAAACTCTAATTGGTGACCATGGAGCCTAGGGGGCTCTCGCAGATGCTGGGGTTGTGGCCTGACACCTGAGTTGCAGCTCCCGAGGCTATCTCGGCTCTCAGAAGACCCTTCTGGAAGCCTAGGGAGGTGGGGACCCAGGTCAGTGCTGACCCTGGCTCCTCCATGTTCACCAGCCCACAAAACTGCACCTCCCACTCTGTTGCTTTGCACGCATGGATGTGCCTGGCAGAGTCACTTGTGGCCAGATTGAATGGGCTGCTGCTGCCTGAGAAATCTTTTAAAGTCAGAGGGGTGTGCAGGAAGAACAAGAGCAGGCTTTCTGAGCCTGAAGTGGGGCCAAGGGGGTTAAAGGCCAGGCCCCAGGGAGGCCCGTCACACGTGAGGAAGACACGCATGTGAAGGATTTCTTCTTTTGTTCCCCACTTCAGTGACTAAAAAAAAACTTATAGTGATTGAGGCAAGGGACTCAGGACTATCACATCACACAACTGTAGAAGGTACCCTTCACCCTTCATGTAAAACACAGTGGCTTTTTCTTTTGAAAGAAGTTTATATTTTGTATTGGGGTATAGTCAGTTAACAATGTTGTGATGGTTTCAGGTGGACAGCCAAGGGACTCAGCCATACATACACGTGTATCCATTCTCCCCCAAACTCCCCTCCCATCCAGGCTGCCACGTTGACGTTGAGCAGAGTTCCCTGTGCTATAGAGTAGGTACTTGTTGGATCCATTTTAAATATCGCAATGTGAACATGTCCATCCCAAACTCCTTAACTATCCCTTCACCCCGTTCTTCCCTGCAGGCAACTGTAAGTTCAGTCTCTAAGTCTGTGAGCCTGTTTGTGTTCTGTAAGTTCATTTGCATCATTTCTTTTTAGATTCCACATATGTAAGTGTTAGTCGCTCAGTCGTGCCCAACTCTTTGTGGCCCCGTGGACTGTAGCCCACCAGGCTCCTCTGTCTATGAGATGTTTCAGGCAAGGATACTGGAGTGGGTTGCCATTTCCTCCTCCAGGGGATCTTCTCAACCCAGGGATTGAACCCGGGTCTCCTGCACTACAGGGAGATTCTTTATCGACTGAGCTACAAGGAAAGCCCACATATAAGGGATGTCATATAATATTTCCCCTTCTCTGTCTGGCTGACTTCACTCAGCATGACAATTTCTAGCTCTCTCCACGTTGCTGCAAATGGCATTATTTTGTTCTTTTACACGGCTTAGTAATATTCCATTGTATGTATGTGCCGCATCTTCTTTGGGCTTGCCTGGTGGCTTGGATGGTAAAGAGTCTGCCTGCAATGCAGATTCAATCCCTGGGTCAGGAAGATTACCCTGGAGAAGGGAATGGAAACCCACTCTAGTATTCTTGCCTAGAGAGTCCCATGAACAGAGGAGCCTGGCGAACTACAGTCCATAGGGTCGCAAAGAGTCAGACACGACTGAGCGACTAACACACATATACACACACACACATATTCCATTGTATATATGCACCACATCTTCTTTATCCATTCCTCTATGGACATTTAGGTTGCTCCCATGTCCTAGCTATTGTAAATAATGCTGCAATGAACACTGAGATGCATGTATCCTTTTGGACTATGAATGTAAAACATAGTGACTTTTGAAAGAGTTAATCCTAAATTAACATGACCTGGGTGGAGAGCTCCCTGAGCAAACAGGAGAGCCGAGGCCAGCAGTGGGCAAAGAGAATCCACACACACATCCGGATTTTTGGAGGCAGTGAGAATGAATTGTGGAGGACGGTGGCCTGGGACTTCAGAATGCTCTGTCGGAGCCCAGTGGCCTTGGGAAGCTGTTTGCCTTTGACTCTCCATCTGCCATGAGGAAGGAGTTAGAGATGCTTAGTAAATACCGATGCTCGAGGTGAAAGCTTAAGGGAACTAAGATTCCTTCTAAGAAAAAACAATAGTGTGGTGAGGGTGTCTGAGAAGAAGTGGAGAGGCCCACTGCTCAGATCCCCTGACCTGACCCCTGTCCGCCAGCTGGGTTCTGGCGTCTGACGCACTATGTCTTGCTGTTACAGGGTCAAGACTGACAATCCCGTGTAAGGTGTTTCTGGGAGCCGGCATACACACAACCACTCTGCTGTGGTGGATGGCCAACAACACCCTCATAGAGGATGCCTACCGCGGGGGCCGTGTGACCGAGGGGGAGCGCCAGTAAGTGATGGGGGGGATCTTCCTTGTCCCCCGGGCAGGGCTGTTGTGACCCTCCGCAGGCTCACTTCTTGTACAGACAGTGTCCTAGCCAACCCATCCTATATGACGCACACACACGTACCACAGTATAAACCTATGTATATCTTTTTATTCTAATCTGTTGGATTTTTAGCATCTTCGACATTGAGTTTTGCTAAGAATCATCAACTGCTCTTGAGAATCAAGGCTTGTAATGCTATGAGTTGAGTAGCAGCCTAATACTTGGTTGGTGTTGCCTCTTCTAGTTGTTTAATTAAACGTTTTTCTCTGGAGTGTTAAAGTTTTCAAACAAATACTTTGAGCTAAGATGTGTCCATTTCTGACTTTGCAACCTGAGAGTCCAACATTTTCACAGCCCTTAAAGAGACCTTGAGATATAGTGCAGGATCTGAGCCCCGCCTATTTCTCAGGAAGCCGTGGGCTACCACAGTCTCTAAGGAAGGATGCTATGAAAGAAAGCAAGAATTCTGTTCTCAAAAGCCTTCATCTCTTTAAAATGTTTTCTCACTCTGAATGCAGAACAGTCAGGCCTTGTAAATGGGAACCATTTTTGTGTGAGGAAGGCAGACCCTTCCATGTTCCAAATTATAAAGGATTTTTAAAATTGTAGTGTCGGTACTCTGAATTTGCCTGAATTTTTGCTTGTCAAATTCTTGTCTTTTTGGAAAGATCTATCCAACAAGAACTTTCTGGATGCAGTTTAGTGGATAGAAATTAGGCATGGTTAGCACAGCCCATTGCTTGTGGATCCTCGTTGCAAGAAGTTTGGGCAGAATTCACATGCCACATGTCAGCTTGCTCATACTATCCATTTACTTAAAGGAGCCTATTTTTTCCCCTGTAGATGAAAAAAAATAGTCACAGTGGATCCACAGCCACGATATTTTTATTTGTACTATTAAGTAATGTGAAGCATCTTTGGATTCCTGGAACATTACAAATGGCAGTGATGTTGACTAGAGCCCTCCCCCGCGTCGGCCGCCCTTAGTTCTGAACTTGAACTTCCAGAGTGAGAGCTGGCAGTGAATGCTGATGACAGCAGACACCAAGGAGGATTGGATTCCTGGAAACTCCCTCCCTCCCTTCAATATGCAAACGATTTGTTGCTCATACAGTCCAATTTCCCCAGACTAGACATTTCTGTTCCCACCAATGGTTCACGGTTCATCAAGAGCCTTAAAAAGTGACCCCCCCCCACCGCCCCCACCTGTTTATCCAAAGAAGCTGGCTTCTGTAAATTCTCATTGTCACAAGCATCCTATATCACAGTGACCAGCATCTTAAGAGTTAGTCTCACCTTCGGGAATAGGCTTAGAAATTCTCCCAAATAAATAACAACTGTAATGGCAGGTGGCCCTCACTTGGTAACGCGTGCCATCAGTTTGAGTACGGCGGAGCTCTGAGAGTGTGTAGGAGTCTGTACTGAAAAGACAAGCGGGCGTTTGGCGGTGGGTGTTGAGGTCACTCTTTTCTTACTCAGGGCATACTCAGAAAACAATGAGAACTACATTGAAGTGCCACTGATTTTTGATCCCGTCAGAAGAGAGGATTTGCACACGGATTTTAAATGTGTTGTCCGTAATACAATGAGTTTCCAGACGCTTCGTACCACAGTCAAAGAAGGTATGGATTTTGGGGGGGTGGGTTGTGAAAGGGAAAGACAAGTGCTGGGTGCTCTGTGGATGTGAGACAAAGGTCCTGATTCAGCAGGTGGTTACTTAGTGAGTCTGTGAGTTTTCTGTTGGTGGAGAAAACACATCTCTTTGTTTTTGTGAATGTTTTTGGTAGGCTGGAGGCTGGCTTTGGGAGATTATACTCAAAGGGAGATTTAAAGAGGAAGCTGATTTTTTGGAAAAAAGACAAAATGGTTCTATGATAGATTTTAAAACCAAACCAAACCAAACCAAACCCTGTGTCTCCTGTGGTTCTGCCGGATCAGCAGGGCCAGTGTGTTTCCCTGAGCCCTTGAGGCGGGTGGGAGGGTTTTCATCCTGAGGCTGAGAAACTTCATCCTCCCAGGGCTGGGAATTGGGAGGTACCCAAAGCTCAGGTGTCTTTAGGGTTCAAGCCATCAGTCACAAGGAGATAGGGCTTCTCTGGTTGCTCAGTGGTAAGAAGCTGCCTGTGATGCAGGAGAAACGGGTTTGATCCTTGGGTTGGGCAGATCCCCTGGAGAAGGGAATGGCAACCCACTCCAGTATTCTTGCCTGGAAAATCCCATGCAAGGAGGAGCCTGGTAGGCTGCNCCCCCACCAGGCTGCACCCATTTCCTACAGTGACCACAGAGGAGCTGGGGGTGGGCGGGGGGAGGCTGTGAAAAACCACGAGATGCCCCAGAAAGCTGAGATGTATAGGAAAGGATCAATTTTAGTTAGCCCAGACTCTTGCATCTTCCCATACATAGAAAAGTACTAAATTCCTTAACTTGAAACATCAGGCAAGCTTTTAGCGGAAAGTTGAGGATCTGGATAAGTCTCAGGGCAGGAATGACCACACAATACAACTTCTCTGCAACTGTGATCGGTACACACCACCACCCCGCACTTGAGCCACTGGTTGACAATGCAGATTCCTGGGTCATCCCCAGACCTACCCAGTGAAATTTTCTGGGGGGCGGGGGGAGGCCAAAGACTGACACTTAGCAAGCTCCGTTCATGATGTATTTTGAGAACCGTTGTCGGAGCACAGAAGCAAGGCTGACGTCTCAGATCATTTCTCCGTGACGGAGCTGTTGGTGGTGCAGACTTAGAAATGGAGGATCCACTGCCAGGCTGCAAAGCAGTAATCCAGAGGAGGCCGTGGCGTGTCTGGTCCTGAGGCTGGGAACCTGCTCACATTTCTAGGACGTGAGCCCTGACCTTGCATGTCCTTCGCTGGGTTGGCTGTGGCTGATCACAGAGCTCACAGCTGAAAGCTTTCACCTGGGCTCAGAGGTGCCTCGCAATAGTTGCTCCAAAAATGAAAACTTCACTCGGTTTGTGGAATTTTAAGATGCAAGAATCGTCTGGAGAAGTTGCCTGAGATTGTGTTTTTTTCCCCCAAATCTGCACAGAGTAGGGTAAACAGTAGCTTAGAAATGTAGAATTCTGGCCTCCTCGTCCATGTGTGATCAATAATCAGAGCCTCTTTTGTGACTATCACAAGTAATACACTTGTTAACCTTTTCATCAGTTTTTATTGGAGCGTAGCTGCTTTACAATGTATGAATTTCTGCTCACAGCAAAGTGAATCAGCTCTATGTTTGCATTTATCTCCTCTTCTTTGGATTTTCTTCCCGTTTAGGTAACTATGGAACACTGAGGTTCCTGTGCCGTACAGTAGATTCTCATCAATCACCTATTTTACACACAGTATCACTAGTGTATATATATGTCAGTCCCAACTTCCCAGTTCATCCCCCACCCCTACTGTTACCTCTCGGTATCTGTTCGTTTGTTCTCTGCATCTGAACTACACCCTCTCTAATTCCATCTTTACTCTTTTTTTATGCTTTTATATTTATTTTATTGAGATATTATTCACATACCATAACAGTCACCATTTTAAAGTGTTAAAATATACTTGTTGGCTTTCTAAAATTTATTTGTTATTATATTTTGGAGTACAGTTGGTTTACGATGTTGTGTTGGTTTCAGGTGCAGAGCTAAGTGGTTCAGTTATCCATTCTTTTTTGGATTCTTTTCCCATATAGATTATTAGAGTATTGAGTAGAGTTCCCTGTGCTATACGGTATGTCCTTGTTAGTTATCTATTTTATACAGTGTATATATGCCAGTTCCAACCTCCCAATTTATCCCTCTCCTGCACTACTTGATAACTTTTAAATCAACACTTGTTTCCTATATTTTCATAACACAGAGCTGCAAAGGAGCAGAACTTAAAATAACTGGATCCCAGCAATAATTCTGACACCTAAAGCTCCTTTATTCCAAATTTTTCTTTTCCTTTGTTACTTTACTGACTCCTCCTGACACCAAGGCTCCCTGGAAAAGGACATATTATACCATGGCCACATCACAGTTGGCCAGCAAATGCCTTGATAGACACCTTATTGCATCCAGTCCAGCAGGTGGAACAAAGTTAGACCTTGACACATGCCCCGCCCCACCGCCAAAATCTACACTGCTTCTCTCTGATGGATATTTGTTCTACTTGACTTTGTTGTTGTTGTTATTTATTTCTTTACCCATTGTGGAGCACATGGGATCTTCCCCAACCAGGGATCAAACCCGTGCCCCCTACACTGGAAGCTTGGAGTCTTAACCACTGGTTGTTCAGTCACTAAGTCATGTCTGACTCTTTGTGACCTCATGGACTGCAGCACACTAGGCTTCCCTGTCCTCTACCATCTCCCAGAGTTTGCACAAATTCATGTGCATTGAATCGGTGATGCCATCCAACCGTCTCATCGTCTGCCATCCCCTTCTCCTCTTGCCTTCAGTCTCTCCCAGCTTCTGGGGCTTTTCTAGTGAACCACTGGACTGCCAGTAGATTCCTGTTTTTACCCTCCTTGTTTCCATAATGCCACCAGTATCATTCTCAGGTACCCTTGATCCAGGCGTAGGGGACATGCTTTCTGAAGATCAGTGCATACATGTTAGAAGAAACAAACGCTGTTTCCTTCCCTGTAGAGTGCATGGCAGTGTCCTATTTGGCCACAGGAGCTTGTTCACCTCTCATGTGTCTCTGTTCTTCCTACAGCCGCCACGTTCTCCTGGGAGATCATGCTTGCCCCCCTGTTCCTCATCGTCTTGGTCCTGGGGGGCATATGGATGCACAGACGGTATAAATGCAGAACTGGAAAAGACTATGGTTTGATGGAGTTAAAGACTGGCCATCCAGACTCGCAATCCTATCCGAGTAAAATAAAGGAAATAAAATAGTTCACATCAAGCCAAGTCCTTTCCAAGGGAAGCAGCTCAGCTTTGTGAAGGATGCTCTTCTTGTCCTCGGTTGTGTACCAAAGCTACTGTGTTTATAGTGGGTTTGTAGTGAGAGACTGAAATGTCCACATAATGTTTATTGTGAAACCAGATCACGGGAACCAGTGTGCATGTGGGTGGGTAGAGGCGCCCTTTGAATAAGAGTTGAAAACAATGAAATGAGTTTTGAAATTCATTTAATCATTCCATAAAAATGTGTTAAAAGTTCTATGTTGGCTATGCTCTGTGGCAGATATTCTAGATACAAAAAACTTCAGTCTCTCCCAGCTTCTGGGGCTTTTCTAGTGAACCACTGGACTGCCAGTAGATTCCTGTTTTTACCCTCCTTGTTTCCATAATGCCACCAGTATCATTCTCAGGTACCCTTGATCCAGGCGTAGGGGACATGCTTTCTGAAGATCAGTGCATACATGTTAGAAGAAACAAACGCTGTTTCCTTCCCTGTAGAGTGCATGGCAGTGTCCTATTTGGCCACAGGAGCTTGTTCACCTCTCATGTGTCTCTGTTCTTCCTACAGCCGCCACGTTCTCCTGGGAGATCATGCTTGCCCCCCTGTTCCTCATCGTCTTGGTCCTGGGGGGCATATGGATGCACAGACGGTATAAATGCAGAACTGGAAAAGACTATGGTTTGATGGAGTTAAAGACTGGCCATCCAGACTCGCAATCCTATCCGAGTAAAATAAAGGAAATAAAATAGTTCACATCAAGCCAAGTCCTTTCCAAGGGAAGCAGCTCAGCTTTGTGAAGGATGCTCTTCTTGTCCTCGGTTGTGTACCAAAGCTACTGTGTTTATAGTGGGTTTGTAGTGAGAGACTGAAATGTCCACATAATGTTTATTGTGAAACCAGATCACGGGAACCAGTGTGCATGTGGGTGGGTAGAGGCGCCCTTTGAATAAGAGTTGAAAACAATGAAATGAGTTTTGAAATTCATTTAATCATTCCATAAAAATGTGTTAAAAGTTCTATGTTGGCTATGCTCTGTGGCAGATATTCTAGATACAAAAATAGTGAAGGCATGGTTTTCCTTTTGGAAAGGTGGAATTTTATCTCGAAACTGGAAAGGATGACTTAGAAATAATAAAGAGGGAGAATCCTCAAGAATTGGTAAATGCTTTTTTAAAAGGATGATCCAGAAAATGGCAGTGTCAAATAGATGGTCTGAAAAATACATAACGTACTAGTGAATGGAGAAATGGATTCAGCTTTCGTAATTAAACTTCTGAAAATAAAAAGAAAGGAAGAGTGTTGAGATGATTGCATACACATTGTGGGGAAAAAAAAAATCACAGCCTCTTTTATATAATATACCAAAAATAAATTCCTGCTAAGTTAATGAGTTAAATTTAAAAATCAAGTTGCAGGAAAATTGGCATGACTCACTCCTTCACCTATTCAAGTCTTGGTTCAAATGTGATCTTCCCACAGGCCCTTATAAGAGACCTTCTCTTTCCATCCCTCTCTGTCCCCCCACCCACTATGCTTTGTGTCATTTTAGCTCTTACCCCCACCAGACCTTCCATTATGTATTTGCTTGTTTATTTTCTGTCTGTTTTCCCCACCAGCATGGGAGCTTCTTGAGGGCAGAGATGTTATTTTGAGCACAACTATATATTCCCTGTACCTAAAATGAAGCCTGCTGTTCCCTGGGCATTTAATAATTATTTGTAGAATAGAAGAAAATAGGATGAATTCTCTTTATAGCAATAAAAGAACCACCAGAGTAAAGATGGGCAGGATTCATTATGTTACAATTTCTGCATAATAGAAAATAATAAAAGCAAAATGTCAAAGAAATTGCGTCAAGCAAGATCAAGGCATTAATAACTATAATCTGCAGAGTGATTCAGGGTTCTAAAAAAGGTGTCAGAACTGAACAGATGAAGGAACATGAGTGAAGAATTACAGAAGAGACATGCACCAGGGAACCGTGGTCTCAGAAATAACCAGAGATGAATTAAATCAGCGCTCACACACTTTTGTTGTTATTCAGTTGCTAAGTCCTGTTTGACTCTTTGTGACCCCACGGACTGCAGCATGCCAGGCTTCCCTGTCCTTCACCATCTCCTGGAGTTTGCTCCAATTCATGTCCATTGAGTTGGTGATGCCATCCAGTCATCTCATCCTCTGCTATCCAGTGTTAAAAGGTGATACCAAGATCACTACAAAACAGTCACACTCACACCCTGTGATGCCGTGCAAACATTGGCACTGGGAGGTAGCAAGGAGTGCATGACGCCAGTGGGGTGCTGGGACTAGTGTCCAGTCCTGTGCGTGTGGGCGCAGTCGCGTCCGACTCTCTGCGACCCCATGGACTGTAGACTTCCAGGCTCCACCACCTGTAGACTTCTCCAGGCAAGAACACTGGAGTGGGTTGCCATTTCCTACCCCAGGGGATCTTCCTGACCCAGGGATCGAAACAGAGTCTCCTGCATCTCCTGTTGGCAGGCAGGTTCTTTACCACTGTGCCACCTGGGACTGGCTTGCAAAAGAGCCAGCTACTGTGTTCAGTGGTGTCATACTGTAGCTTAAAACCAACTCTGGTGGGAGTATTTACATCACAGAAAGTGGCAAATGCCACAAGCCTCCCCTCTGCGGTACTCCACCATGAGGACCATAGAGATGCCCAGTACTGCTATTCCTGGGAACTTAGGACCTGATTCAATAAAATAGACAGGAGATAACATTCAGTGAAACTTACCACCCTGATGATGAAACATTATGCCTCAGTTATAAGTGATAATTATCAAGGTTCTGAGACCAGGATATTTATAGTATTAAGGGAAGTTTGTAGGCGAAACAGTAACTGTCTTATACAATTGGACTGCACCTCGCAGGTCTGCAAGCCTTGTAATTGCTCAGCCTGGAGACCCAAGAAAGCTTGGAAACAGTGGCAGAGACATGAGTGGCTTGTTGGATGGGGCCAAGTGCCCTGGAACCACAGCTCACTGTGGCTGGCTAGCAGCACAGGGTGGCACTTCACTCCTGGGGGAGCAGGCAGCGTTAGTTGCTCAATCATGTCCGACTCTTGGTGACCCCTTGGACTGTAGCCCACCAGGCTCCTCTGTCCATGGGATTTCCCAGGCAAGAATACTGGAGTAGGTTGCCACTTGCTTCTCGGGGGGTCTTTCCGACCCAGGGGTTGAACCTGAGTCTCTTGCATTGCAGGCAGATTCCTTAAGCTGAGCTACCAGGGAAGAGCAGGAAGCTACCAGTTCTAAAAGGAATTGATGCAGATTGGCTTATTGGTTACCTGGGAAACCAGCTTCAGGCCTGACCTCACGGCCCCTCAGGTTAAAGATGTTTCCCCTTAATAGGCTAGCAGGTGGAGCCCTTCTGGCCTAAGGATCAGAACAATCTCGGGCCTGGAGCGGAGGGTGAGCACTCTCGTGTGAGTGGGCGTAGGGGCGGTCCATACGATTCACACGTGGGACGCATGGACAGCAAGAGGAGCCTCTCTTGTGTCCTGTGATATGCAGTTTACATGGTTGCGGCAATGTTAAAATTTGTTTGCATTGAGACAAGGAGAAAAGCAAAACCCAGAGGCTGAAAACGTGTTTCTGAGGTTCACGCCAAGCTGCCTTGGTGACCCTGCAAGAGTCCTTCCATCTCACGGTGGGTCAGTCTTCTTATCTGAGAAATGGGGGCAGTAACAGGACTGACTCTGCAGTCTTTAATAGAGGCTTTCTATATATATTTTTTAATGTCTTTGGCTCTTTAATAATCAAAAACCATGGTGGGAATTCCCTGGCAGTCCAGTGGTTAGGACTCCAGGGATTTCATTGCTGTGGACTCGGGTTTCATCTCTGGTCGGGAAAACTAAGATTTTTCAAGCTGAGTAGCAAGGCCAAACAAACAAACAAAAATAACCTAGGAATAGACAGAAGTAAATATAGCTGTATTGTTTAGACCAAAGGTCAGCAAATGAGTTTTCTGGCCAAATCCAGCATGGCCTCTGTTTCTATAAATTCAGCTTCATCAGGACACAGGAAGGCCTGTTTGTGGATGCACCGTCCACGGCTACCCTGGCTCTTTGAAGGTGGGGCTGAGTAGTGGAGCTCTGGCTGGAGAATTTACCCTCTGGCCCTTTACAGAAAAGGTTTGCAGATGGCTGGTTTGGACAAGGAGATATGGGCAGTTTTGACCCTTCATTTTAGATCCCCTGTTACTATCATCTCTCCCCTTCTTTGCCTGTTTTCAAAGCTGGCAAGGCAAGAGAAATAAGACGGTGCAGGCAGAGGTCTTTTGCACCCATCAGGAACTTTCACGTGAAGGAGTGGAAAATGAGGTTGGAGAAGGCGGACAGGTGAGAGCCTTGTGAGCTGCTCCAGGGGCTTCTCCTTTGCTGGGTCTTCAGCTCGGGGGCCACGTGGCATTCGTCCTGCTTCCCTCCTGGGGCCCCTCCTCCAGGGCTCTTCACCCCGCCTTCAGATTTGGGCGGCTTCAGCCACGACCCAGAAAAGGAGCAGCCTGCAGCCGGGAGAGCCACCACTACTAGATTCTGCCTGACAGCTCCCTTATGCATTTCCTCTCCTCCCCGAAGATTTGAAGTCTGGGTCACGGCATCAGAGAAAGTGGGAGACACTCGGGGAGTCTGGGGCACTGATTTATGATAATATCAAGGAGTAAGTGGGACACCTGGGTTTCCCAGGTGGCCTTAGAGGCAAAGAACCCACCTCCCCGTGCAGGAGACTTAAGAGATTTGGGTTTGATCCCTGGGTTGGGAAGATCCTCTGGAGGAGGAAATGGCAACCCACTCCAGTATTCTTGCCTGAAGAATCCTCTGGACAGAGGAGTCTGACAGGCTACAGTCCATGGGGTTGCGAAGAGTCAGACACAGCTGAAGCACCTTAGCATGCATGCGCAGTCTAGTGCTGGAGTGGGAGTGATGTGGATGAAATAAGATTGGCCATGTGCTGATCATTGCTTACACCGGTCATGGTGTGTAGGACATTCCTTACACCAATCTCTCTATGTTTAAAAGTTTCCGTCATAGAGCAGTTTAAAAACAAACACGTAGAAGCAATGCAGATGCCACTAGACAAGACAATGGGTACATAAACTGAGATGTCATAGCACAGTGGAATCTTCTACAAAGGTGACAATGAATAAATGACAGCTACCTGCAGTTGAATCTTAGAAATATATTCTTGAAGAAATAGCAAATCCCAGAAACATTGATTTATAGAATGATGTCCTTTTATATGATCTTCCCTGGTGGCTCAGCGGTAAAGAACCCCCCTGCCAATGCAGGATACCTGAGGTTTGAGCCCCAGGTTGGGAATATCCCCTGGAGGAGGAAATGGCAATTCCAGCATTCTTGCCTGGGAAATCCCGTGGACAGAGGAGCCTGGCGAGCTACATTTCATGGTGTTGCAAAGAGTTGGACGCAAGCGAGCACACACACACCCGTTTATATAAAGTGAAAAACAACTAAAACGAAACTCTCTACATACATACATATGCGTATATTAACATTCCAACTTATATCTGAACACATGTGATAAGACTGTTTTAACTGTATGTGAATGTATCTGTATTTAAAGAGCACATATGTGATTTGAAGGGTTTAAAATGGCCTGCACTTTTAAGAAAGTAGGCTTCCCTGGTGGCTCAGGTGGAAAAGAATCCGCCTGCAGTGTGGGAGACCCAGGTTTGATCCCCGGGTTGGGAAGATCCCCTGGAGAAGGGAATAGTGACCCGCTCCAGTATTGTGGCCTGGAGAATCCCATGGACAGAGGAGCCCGGCGGGTTACAGTCCATGGGGTTGCACAGAGTTGGACACGGCTGAGCAACTAACACTTGAGAAAGCAGGAGAACGAGAAATGTAATTTTCAGGATAGTGACATCATCAGGTGACAGGCAGGGCCAGGGTGGAGATGTGGAGGGGTATGTAAGTTTCCTCAAGTGCTGGCTCTCACCTCTTGTTTAGTCACTAAGGCAGGTACAACTGTTTGCAGCCCCATAGACTGTAGCCCACCAGGCTCCTCTGTCCATAGGATTTCCCAGGCAAGAATAATGCAGTGGGTCGCCATTTCCTTCTCCAGAGGCTCTTTGCAATCCAGGGATCAAACCCACGTGCCTGCATTGCATTGCATTGCATTGCAAGTGTATTCTTTACCACTGAGCCACCAAGAATGCCCTGGCTCTTATATTGGGTGGTGGATTTTTATTTTTATCAGATAGATCAAGTAACAGTCCACTTAAGTGTATGTGCCCTGAACCAAAGATTCTGATTAATCTAATTCTGAGCACCTGAGTCCAAATTAAACAAAAAGAAACAAGATGGTTCTTAATGTGGCTGATCTCATCCGTTTTACTTTGATTCCATTGGTTTCACTTTCTTAAGGTGA